CCATTTGCTTGTTTTGTCTTATTACCCAACATTCCTATTTTCGTGGGCTAGTTCAGTCATAATACAATGAAGGTAGGGCATAATCTTGTACCATCCAAGATGACATAGGAAGTATCATCAAGAGAGAGAGAAAGAAAGAATGAGAGAGAAAGAGAACTAGTTCCTTGGAATCAGGGTCGCCAGTTAGTGTGGACGCCTACTGCAAAAATGATGATACCATTCATATCAATACTTTGGCATACATTATAAGCAAACACCTCATTTTATGCACCAAGGCAGGAACATGAAGGTAAGAAGGTCTCTATCACAGAATTTACACAAAGCTAAGTCAGTGATAGAGACGCCTTGAAGGAAGCCTGTTTTCTCAAGAGGTCGTGAGTCTATGAGCAAGGCAATTATTGGATTCAGGATGCTATTGAACATCGAATGGTGCAGGGTCTAAAATCGTCATTTACATTGTCCGTCTGATCTCGATAGAAGTGACAGATGTGTAACAGTGAATTACTTTAGATCCTGCTAAGAGCTGGTGGTGCTAAACGCACTTTCGTTGGTCAACAGTGTTAAAGTAAATTATTTGAATTTGGGAGAGTGAAAATGGAAGTATAGAGCCTTGCGGGAAAGTTGGCTGAGAGTGGCCTGAGGCTGATTCAACGAGCCTTTATATTAACAGGCATTGATACACCAACTACCAGGAACGAAGATATGGCATATGAAGAAAGTGCTCAATCAAACGGAACATAGGGCAGGTTTATGCCAGACAAATCAAGGATAACAGATGTTCGAATTATGCCGTGGCTTGACAACAATCTCCAGAAGCCAGAGCAGCTTCAGATCTGGCAGAAATCACTGAGCCGATACCAGATGCAGCACCGCCTGCCTCTATGAGACCGTCAGATTTCGGCCATTGACTCAGCTCCCCGATAGGGCCTGACTCACCAACCAGAAGGCAGACACTTGAGCCATTGTCCAAAAGCCTCGTCGGCCGGAAGCAGCGTTGATTGTTTGCTTGAGCTTGCGAGGCGATTGGTGAAAGCCTGGACGGTGAAACTATAGAATTCGAGGCTGAAGAGGTGGGGAAGAGCGAATTCAGACCGAGTGATGGATTGTAGCCAAAACTGAGCAGTCCGGCCGGATTGGATACGACTTCATGGCCGGACGAAATGGGCTCGAGGCCTGGAGGTGTCTGTACTGTGGAGTCTAGGCATCCAAAGAAAAGACCATCTAGCCCCAGGTGTCCAGCAGACTTCACCGCTTCGGATGCCTTCCCGACACAGGCCTGTCGGAGTAGCGCAGACTCACCAGTCAGTCTTCGCGCCATTTCTGTATTTCCAACTGATAACGGCTTAGAGACGGATTCCTCGGAAAAATTCGACTCTAAAAATCCAGTCTCTATACCCGTCTCAAGCAGCATTGAGGCTATTTGGTTCGTCAGGCTAGGCATTATGGCGGCCAGATCAGCCAACCCAAGGCCGACACCATCACTTTCGCCTTCAGATCTGGTCGTAGTAAGTCGAGCTGGGGTACAGGCAGATGAGTCGACTTCGGTCAGGTCAATCTGCTCTTGAATCTGGGTTGTAGTGAGTTCAGCTCCGGCTAGCAGACGAGTCATTTTGGTGCTTTCATCCTCTTCTTTGTTTTTTTCTCCTTCTCGGTTATGATCGGCCAAATGATGCAAGAGGAAAAGATTTGCCTCCTCTGGCAACATCTGACCATCATTTATAGACACCTCTGTCTCCGTCCGGGTGATCCAACCTGGCATCGCTGTGGTTTCTAGTTGGGTCCGACCAGAGAATAATACATCTTGACTGGCAAGCAGGGTATCCCCAAGAGTGCCAAGTAATTGTGGCCAGTTTGCGTCAAGAAGCTCGTCTTTCTCCTGGCTACTGTGACGACTGGAAGCATCGCAACTGACAACAGCAGAAGCCGGTCTGGCAATACCAACTTCAAGTGGGCCCGATGCAGATGCCAATGGAGCCGGAGAAGAAGACAGAAGTCTGGTCGATGGAATCAACAATGGCGGCAGCCCTGCACCAGACGAGGTAGGTTGGTGTAGAAGACTCATCTGCCAACTGTTGTGAGTTCCTGAAGTGCAAAGTAGACCCGAGTTGGCCGTGGAGGTGGGGTCATCCAGAAGGGTACTGTTATTCGATAGGCTGAAGCCGGCACAGGAAGTCCCGCCAGCGTTGGGGCTACTGCCAATATGATCGGTGGTGCTAAGACCCCCGAGGCAAGGTCTGGAGCCTGTGCTCCTGTCAGGCTTTGTGCCTGTAGAAACGATGCATTTGGCGTCATTCATCAGGAGACTGGCACCAAGCGAGTTAGCTTTATTCAATTGTGATAAAATGGGACCCATCAACGGGATAGTGGCAGGCTGGCTAGACTGGGGCTTGCCTAGGTTGACTGGACACTGGCGAGGCAAAGGGGGACAAATAATGGGAAAAAAGTGCTAGAATTCAATGGCTTATACTATTTCTAAAATTCGCCAGTTGATGGATTTCAAAAATGCACTGGTTAAATTTTAAGCATATAGTAAATTGAAGATTCTATAGGTGATTGGACGTCAAAAGTTATGTATAAGTAGACAAGTCATTTTTCAAAGAAACTTTTGATTTACAATTATTAAACCT